ACTAAGATACAGCACTATACATACTAATGTTTGGAGTTGAGATGATAACATTTGGATCTACTAATTTAAAAGCAAGTTTATCCATTGTTACCAACAGCTGACTAGCAACACCATTAATGTCCCTTCCCTAAAATTACATTAAATACTCTACAGAGTGCATTACAACTAATATAGGAACAAACTTGATCTTCTTGCATGTCTTCAGTCTTCAAAATTTTGCTAGCAATATTAAACACTGTCTATTTATACAATCAGATATCCATGATCACTGTATACTTGCATACTTCTGCTTTGTCGGTGGTCATATTCTGTGAAGCAGTTACTATTACATCTAGCAGGACAGTAACCTCCCCAATTTCTAACTCTCCATTACTGTCGTTGGAGGACACAGATTGATTGAGTAATACCAAAGCTGTTAAAGGATCACTGGACGCCTAAAGTACACAAAGTGAATCTACATAAAGTAACATAGTTACTGCACCTCTTCTAAAATTCTATTGTACGCTTGAGACGCATTACAATTGATAGTACCCCACACTCCATTAGCTTTGCAGAGTCTAGTAGCTACAGAATAAAATTTAAACAATTATTTCAATAAAGTACATGTATACGATGTTATGACAAAACTTTTATTACCATTTGCCATTCCCTTGCTACAAGTTCCATTAGCAGTTTGATTAACTGGTGTATCAGGCCAAATACCATCAGTGAAGCACATAGGAACAGCTGGACCTGTAGGTGTAACTATAGGACTAGAGTCAGTCATCGTGGAAGTAGTAGACATAACAACTGTCATTATAGTTGTAGATGGACTATCTGTCATGTATGAGTCACTTAGAGAGGATGAAGTTATTTCCTCAATGTTGTACATGTACCGGTAAGTTGCTTCACGAGGTATGAGTCCATCTCCTCCATCCATTAACAGTATAGGACCTTCACCAGCACACACTGACTGGTTAGATATACCACCATTAGTGTAATTCAGTGATGTACTATAAACTCTATACATAATAATAAAGATATAACTTAGACTTGCATTAACAAAGCTTACTCATTGAGATCAGTGAATATGATTGGTTGACTAATACTCCAAATATCATAATTAGAAGTGTAGTTTTCTTGTGTCCATATTAATGATACTAGTTCAGTGTTCTTGTGTATACAGAATGAGACTGAAGTGTATTGTGTAGGATTAGGTGAATATATGGGTACACCATTGAGATGAGTAGTATTGAAATTAGTCCAATACTTGTTACCTACTGGAGCATAATAAGCTAATGGTGTACTTGCGGTATTACTATCCACAGCAAGAGAGAGGAGAATGGCATTAGGTGATGAACTGCTTAGAGTAAATTTTCTGAGTTGCAGAATAAAACTAGCATTTACCCTAGAAAGTACATGTAATGGAGTATATAAAATGATAATAGCTTACATGTGTCCATTACAGGAGAATGAGGAGACCAAAGGAGGAGTTGCAGCTTCATGCAGTGATACAGTCTCATGATAGACACATTGATCATAAACAGATTGATCATAGATAGAATGATTATACAAAGCTGATTCATTATAGAAAGCTGATAAGTGTTCATCAATTACTGGAGACACTGCAATACGATCTTTTGTTTTTCCACCAGTGAAAAACAAGCAAGGTTCAGATCCATTGCCACACTGATAAGGGACTTGAGACATTTGAGCAAATGTACAATTCCATGATGTTTTACAAATATCGTCATCATCATCAAAGTCTTCACTGTACAGGTTACCATTGGTATTAATAGAAACCCTCACATCATCCAGTGACCAAACATCACAATGTCCCTCATTAGATTTGCGATATTGAGTCCAAGAAAATGATAGGTTTTCTGTAAACATTCGATAATCACTCACATATATTGTGTGAGAGACAGGCCCTATTACTTTAGTTCTATTGACTGGAATAATGTAAGAAGCATCCTGAAGTCTCACTCTCAGTTGGCAATAGTTTGAATTAAATTCTGTAATACTGACATGATCCTTATTAAGTCCTATATTCCCTCCAGTAATTGTGACGTATTGTAATGGTAATATTGAGCCATCACCAAATAGTGCCTTAACCAGTACACCTTCATTAGCATTACTTAAACGCCAACACCCAGGACGAGGATCACGATAACGAAGGACTAGTGTGAATTCCAGCCGACTAAAAAAGGAAAAAAACCTAAAATTTAATGAAAGATATGACTTGCAATTGCAAATTTTGAGGACGACAATTAGAAACTTGAACAAAAAACTGATTAAAATCTTTATCTTCACTGATGTTGTCACACTGAGGGGCTAAGAATGACAATTCACTTATAAATACTCCAGAACCAATAAAAGAATTACACAGTGGAGCTTCAATTGTCGCATTTCTATTACAATACTGACTATACAGGGAATGAGAAACAAATACAGGCAACACACATTTACCTTACAAATACTGTAATAAAAGGAGAAGTTGTTTTGATACTTTCAGTGGAAAAGGTCACAAATCTGTACTGAACTTTACTGCCAAGAGAAATGACCAATGAAACTTCCTGCCCATTTGTACAATAATCTAAATAAAGAATAACAAACACTATTATTATTTATTATTATTATCATTATCATTATTATTATCATTATCATTATCATTATTGTAACCTGCAAGATGCCAAGGGGAGAATGGTTCATTGTTAGATGTCTTGTATCTTACTGAGAGCTGGCCAGCCATTTCAACATAGCCAGTACTAAAATATGAAAATACATTGTAGATCAAAATATACAACACATTGTAACTAACACTGTAATATTTTCAGAGAACACAAGTTGACAGCAAATGAGAGACAAAAGTACTGACAGGCACTGAAGGGAGGCCATCATTAAACTGGATGTGTGGAGTAACTGACCAACAAAAATATTCAGAGAAGCTACATGTGAGTGTAACTGCACTGTCAGTTATGCAAGAGCTGCATAACTTAACAAGGATATAGCACAATTCATAGAAATCGACAACAGCTACAAAACATTAAAATATTAGTGGCTGTGGATTCAGGGTTGGTGAGGAAAGCTGACTTACACACTTTCAATAAAATACAATTTTACAATTTATCATTTGATGGACTGGAAAAATTACAATGTATAATATAAAAGAATAATTGGGAAAGTGTGCTATAAAATATCATTAATATCAGTTACTGATTGTAGCCAAACTCTTTAAAAATGGCCATGAGCTCCTCATCATCTTGAGCAGCATCAAGTGGCGTGAGATCGTTCTAAAGAATACAAAGATAGATACAGTATACATATAAAATTTTGATATTACTTCATCTTTTATGTAAGGATCAGCTTTATACTCCAATAGAAGATGTACGATTTTTGAATAGCCACGATTAACAGCATAGTGAAGAGGAGTAGAACCAGTCTGTATGTACATGTATAAAATAGGAGCGTAAAATACAGTAAATGTACATCATGTGTAAATCAATAAGTTATATTTGTCTCAAAATAACAATAAAACTCTGATCCTTACATCATCAGGTATATTAGGATCAACCCCTTTATGCTCAAGGAGTAACTTCACAACTTCATGACGTTGTGGTTTCTGAATGCTATCAACTGCAATATGAAGAGCTATCTTTCCTTCATCCTAAAGACAATAGTAACTGCAAATACTAGTCAATGGATGCTTACAGAATCTCTAATATTAACACTAGCTCCATGTTTAAGCATTGTCTCTACAACTTTAGGATGAGCTTGAGTTAATGCAACATCAAAAGCTCTCCAGCCACTCTAAGAGAGAGGGAGGGAGAGAGGGGGGAGAGAGAGAGGGAGGGAGGGAGAGAAGAGGTGGTTCAAAGTTATTAGTTATTTCTATAAGTTACAAGTACCTTATCTTTAATATTAACATCAAGTTTATGGTCAATAAGTACTTCAGCTACTTCAGCACGACCACGTCTAGCTGCAATGTGAAGGAGAGACCATTCACCCTGTAACATTAAAGTGGCATAATACAACATGTTAATGATTAAAGATAAGAGAGAAAGCTACATGTACATGTAAGGAGCTGTCACCTCATCATTTACACCAAAGTCAGCTCCATATTCTATCAGTGTTTCAACAACTTTATGATGTCCTCTCATTACAGCATTGTTAATAGCAGCCCATCCACCCTTGAGAGAGAAAAATGTATAAATATATACAGGACAGGACGTCTCACCTTTTCCTTTTCATCTATGATAGAAACATCTTTCTCAAGAAGAGCCTTCACAATGTCATTATTACCATCCCAAGCAGCTTTATGCAATGGTGTACAACCATCCTGAGAAAGAGAGAGTTCACTTTAATAGGGAATTATAAGACAGTACATGAACATGTATTATGAACTCTAGTATACAATGAACAGATTTAGTAGGTGAAGAACATACCAATCCTTTGCTTCCAGGACTGGCTCCCTTCTCCAAGAGAAACTCAACAACTTGTAAGTGATACGATGAAGCATAATGTAAGGGAGTGTAACCCTCCTATGCAAGCATAAGATAAAATATGATATGATTACCCATCAATATTTTGAAAAGCCTGCAGTTAATTACCTTATCAACAGCATTAACATCAGCTCCATACTCCAAAATTAAGGTTTCAACTACAGTCAAATGACCATTATCTGAAGCATAGTGCAATGGAGTTCTACCATCCTGACATTATAAATACAATAAAACATAAAGAGCTCAGTCATGGCTTCCTTTACCTTGTCTCCGATATCAATAGTTGCTTCATTGTTCAATAGTAACCTCACAGTTTCTTCATGACCAGTCTCAGCAGCCAAATGAAGTGGAGTCTTGTTATCCTATAGATCATGAAATTGTACAAAGAGAATCCTTAAAAGTAACTGTATACATGTATGGGATTATATTTGCAGATTTGATTTTTGATGCAGTTGTAAATTATAAAAAAACATGTACATGTAAGTTCTCCATGCTACATTTGCACAGTATATGTCATAATACAAGGACACACTACATTACACATAACCAAAGTGGCAGTAATAGTGATGAGTAAATGTATCATCAACATACTTTGGTATCAGTAGAGTCCACAGGGAGAGCTCCTTCATTGATAAGGACATTTATTGCAACACTGTGACCATTGGCTGCAGCATAATGAAGATAATTCCTGCCAAACTACATGTGAAAAGAAATATTAAATATAGTGTGCTCTTCTCTCCATCACTCTCAATCATAGTGAACATACAGTACCTTATTTCCAGTCTCAAGACTACACCCAGACTGAAGGAGACATTTAAAAGCATCAACAGCATTCACCATAGCAGCTGTGTAGAGTGGAGTCCATCCTTGCTAAAGAAATAAAAAGGACTATCATCAAATTTTTGCTATAAGCCATTTAATTAATGTGGATATTGTTGGTAGAAGTATTAATGTAATTAAAGTGATTAGAATCAGTTACAGTGAAGTGCATGTTTAAAATGGTATTCCAACCTTATTCTCAATTGTTGTATCAACTCTGTGATCAAGCAGTGTCTCCACAGCCTCAAGACTGCCTTTCTTGATGGCAGAATGAAGAGGAGTGTCACCAAGCTACAAGGTATAAGCAACGTGACATTAACATATGTACATGTACAAAGGATGAAAACCTTATTAGTAACGTTAGCATCAGTCCCTGTACTGAGTAGAGCCTTCATTCTGTCAATTTCATGATTTTCAATCAATAAATGAAGATGAGTAGCACCATCCTAAAAGAAATTATAAAAAATTACACAAAGTGTATGTCACCTCATCAACTCTAGCTCCATGTTGTATGAGTGTCTCTACCATGTCACTGCGATCATTTCTGATGGCATAATAAAGAGCAGTCTTTCCATCCTACATGTACATGCATATGAATATAAATATACATGCATAATAATTGTATATGTAGTTATAAAATGAACTACATACATCACTCAATGTGAGTTTACATTGATACCTGATTGACAATGTTCACGTCAACTTTGAGTCTAATCAAAGCACAGAGCATGGAGTGGTAGCCTGAATCAACTGCTAAGTGAACCAAACTTTGACTGTTGTTCTATAAAATGATAATAATCATCAAATGCTGCATAGCAAGACAATTCCCTTACTAGTGGTAGAGTGTGAGGTAAGAATTTTATGTTCAAATCAACTCCTTTTCTGACTAACTGCAAGAGATGAGGTATGTCTCCAGCAGCCACAGCTCCATAAACCTAATCATGTCACAATTACACATACCACCTCATGAAATCAGTCTATACATAATGTACTGTACATGTACCTTCTGTCTTCTGATCATAATCGGTCTTTCTAGATCACTGCAATCTACAAAAAATTACATTTTAATTTACGTCTCCTTTTTGGTAAATTAGTATTGCACTACTGCTTATTCAAAAGTCTCTCCTCCTTTCTCTCTCAATATTTCTCTCTCCTTTCCTTACCCAGTATAGTAATCCCATCAGCAAGAAGCTCAGAAACTATCTTAGGATTATGAAAGACCCCCCATATCTTCTCATAGGAGTAAGTACAAGTCACCACAAGAGTAACTAGAATGCACTGAACTGACACATCACTAAAAGAAATGCAGTCCATAAAATTGAAACGATCCTTCATGTATTGGAACCAGCCACCTACAGTCTTTTGAGATGAAGGATTGACAAGTTTTAAAATTATTTTAGGAAGTCCAACTGGCGTTAAAGGACGTAGGTTAGGATGGTTTTCAAATACTAAAAATAAGTCCGAAAATTTAGTCGATTTTAGAAATTCCGTATGCTCTAGTTTATAAGACTCTAACTCAGCATGGATTTCGTGTTTCTTATCTTTAACAAAAACTCTAATGAGTTCTTCGAGCATCCCATAGTTAAAGTAACCGATAAAATGTCTGTCTTTAAGGAAATTCAAAATATCATTGACACAAGATGAAGCATCAATGCTCTCTTTGTATGGCTGACTATTCAGCAAGGAAGCCTGCAAAATGTCTTTGACAATCATTTTGAAATTATTTATCCTCATCCCATCTAAAGCATCCCAAGAAGACATTAGGAGCATCCTGAAGTCACTCTGAAGTGAGTTCAGCTTATCAACAATGACACTGAATATCACTGGACCTACAAGATACAAGTAAATGCACATGCACACAATGTTTAAAGGATGTAATCGATACAGTAATTTTGATGCATTTACATGTGAATGTGCATGAAGAATCAATACCATGTACATGAACACGTATGTATATCTACTAAAAAATTCATCTCTCATTCAGTTTAATAACTTCTCTCTCACCAATTTCTTGCATAACTTACTTTTTGACTTTTCTCTCACCATCAGCTGATGATGTTTCACTATGCTTGTCTCATCAGTAGTACTGGATTCATCTTCATTGTAAGATACATCTTTCTTTATTCCCTCTAGAATAGTCCTTAGCTCCTCATGTTTCTCCATAATATTGAGAATACATTTGAAATCTGAATCAACTCTAGCCTCCATCTTTTTGATTAGCAGCACAGCTAGAGTCTCATCTGTTTCCCTCTCTTGATGAATTCTATCCATATCCTTCTCCTTCAGAAGCCTTTCTGAGTAAAGGTAAGCTGCAAAGGAGTTCCTTACTCTCCTAAGCATCAAGGCTTCCTTGAAGCCTGGCAAGTATTTCACATAAAGGTCCCTGTAGGACGCCATTTTAATGGGCGTGAGCCCGCCAAAAAGGAGGAGGGGCTCACCCCGTGGTAACAGCCCACGCATAAAAATTAGCTCTAAAATTAAAATTTTCCCAGACCCCCGAGAGGAGAAGGAAACAGAATATAGATTTAGAAAAGTAAAAATTAATCATTAAAAATTTAAGAGCCTGCTATGTCCTATTTCAGCAACCCATATTGTTCCATCATTAGCAACTGCAATCCCTCTTACATTAAACACCTTATCAAATGAAGCAATCAAATTATAAGAAGAGTCAAATACGCCAATCTTTGACGTCCCACCATTCATGCTAAGCAGAGGATTTCCAACTGGATCAAATGCAATCCCACAAGGGCTCTGCTTGACCGGATATTTGTTAATGAATGTTCCATCAAGTGTGAAAACAGCAACATTGTTTGAGTTGAAACCAGTCACATGAAGACGACCACTGGCATCAATGGCTACACCCTCTGGTGTGTCAAACCTTCGATCCATTTTATTACTTGTTGCATTAATAAAGTGAGAGTGGCTACCATCTTTGTTAAAGACTTGAACTCGGTTATTACCATACTCAGTAACATACAGTTTCCCATTACTGTCTAGACATATGCCCCAAGGATATTTCATTTGTCCTTTCCCAGAGCCTTCACTGCCAAACGTGTCAATAAATTCTCCTTTCCTAGTAAACCTTTGTATTCTATTGCCATTATTCTCAGCCACATAGACTGTATTACCACTGATTGCTATACCTGCAGGTTGCAGGAACTGTAACTGGCCTTTCCCCTTTGATCCTATCACTCTCTTGTAGTCTCCATTACTACTGTAGACGTAAACACAATGGTGAAAGTGACTGGTAACAAATACATCTCCATTATCTGCTATAGCTATGAAAAAAGGTGAATCTATATCAGATATGGTAACCAATGGTCCCTTGAGAGAAGATATGCTTGCATAGTCTCGACTAATGTACAAATTAAATGGACTATTTTTGATTGGTCCATCGTTGAGTGAAAGAGTAATTTTCTGTTGTCCAAATTGCTGAGGAATAAAAGAAGCAGTGTAGGTGCCATCACCAGAGTCAATAATAGTAGCAGAAACGTGTTTCTTTCCTCCTCCTCCTCCTTTACATGCAATTTGACCAGTAACACGAGCACCTCCTTTATTTAACCTCTTGCCAGTAGAATCTCTTGATATTACTTTAATCTGTAGCTCTTTGCCAACTGTGTGAATACATGACGGTATCTCAGCTGTAGTCTCCTCAGGACAAATAGGATCAACACCATTGACTGTACCAAGTGACGCTATACCTGATGCAATTTTACTGACATTCATCTCAATATTAACAGACGGGCTCTCACACAGAGTGAGTGACGTACCAGAAAACTTCTCCTGGAGCTCAGTGGCTCTGGCCTGGAGTGTATGAGCAATAGAAAGTAATTCCACATCACCATAATCTCTGACAGCAGTCTGTGACAGATCCTGACATGCTTTCATGTCTTCCATTAAAGATTTGAAAGTATCAAGCTGGCGAGAGAGACGAGTTTGCTTGGCTAATGAGACATCATTGCTCTTCTCTATTAATGACTGCTCTCTTCCTTCCAGCAGCTTCTGAAGACTGGCAATACTCTGACGTATGAGGGTATCAACTTCGTCCTTTTGCTTTCTAATCATCTCATTTGTTCTTTCTCCTGCATCAAGAACAGCTTTTAGCTTCTCTTCACTCTCATGGACAGCAGTCATGACTTTAGTAAGCTCTTCTTTTGTCTTTACTGCTTGTGGTTTAGCCTCAGTCACAGTATGGTCCCTGTGACTGATGATGGTACACTTAACACAAACAGGTACTGAGCACTGGTTGCAGTAGAAGTCAAGCTCCTGCCGAGGATGGTCATGGCACGAGAGAGAAGAAGACGGGAGGAGTTTGAGCAGATCCCCTCTTGGCATAGCCCGTGCTTTTTCTAAGGTGAACGATGAATGAGAGCGAGTGACTTTAACTGTTTGATGAGCACCCCAACAAGTTTGGCAGAGAAAATCCATACAGTCAGTGCAATAAGCAACGGCACATCCGGCCCCATCATCACAGGAGTTACACGATGGAGAAGTGGAAGAAGACGTGATTTTGAGCAAAATGTCTTCTTGATTGCTAATCAAATGCAAGTTGCAAGGGAGAGATGTGATGCCCCCATCTCCTTTAGGTAGTTTAGTAATCTCACGACATGTTGGACAAGTAACGGTCTGCTTTGAGGCCTTTCCATCAACCAGTGACTGAAGGCAAGGAGTACAAAAGGAATGGAGACAAGAGAGGAGACGTGGGTCAGTATATGAGTCATTACACCTTGGACATAAAAGAGATGAAGATGAAGCTTCATTTACTACCTCATTACTAGGTCTAGGAGGTACAGAAGCAACCTAAACAAGGCAATAATTACCGAGTCCTTTCTGCTGTTTACTAACCACTGGTTTCTGAGAAGAATCCATTCTTTTGAGTTTTGATACAAAGATCTAAACACGGATTTGACCCACGGGCTAAAATTTTTAATTGCTGTTAGGACCCCGGAAGAGACGGATGTGGTCGTGGTAGGAAATGATGCAATGATGATGTCATGGAATAATTAGCGCATGCTCCCACGTGATTAAAATTCATTACCGCCCCTATATCTTTGTACGGTCTTTCTTTACCCTTCTCGAATCTACTCTTGTGAGAGATAGAGAGAGAGATGGGGATCAGTAAAGACCAAGCCTACAAGATATTGGGGCTAGAAGAAGGTCAGTTTATCGTATGGTGTCCTTTGAAATGTCATTCTGTGTCTTATATTTACAGGAGCACCTGATTTTCTTGTTCGTTCTCATTATTGTCGGCTGGCCAACAAATACCATCCTGACAAGAATCCTCACAATAGGGATGTTGCTCTACATGTGAGACTCAACAGAGAGAGAGAGAGAGGGAAAGAGAAGGGGGAAACCATTTGTTTACTATTGTGGGAGAAATTTGAGAACAAAAATTAAAAACCAATTAAAAATATAATTTCCTTGTACCTAATTAGCAAGTCCGGCATCTATTATTCTTATTGTGATGATTTCTTTATTTCAAATGTCTAGCATATTTGCTATGATAATTTATTACATTGGTGTTTATTTTGTATCAGTGGGCATTTGAAAATTAGTTTTGTTCTTCCTTTGTTTAGAAATTCCAAAAGATTGTTGATGCTTATGTTCGCTTACAGATAGAGCCTGACGACTGTGATCAGATGAAAATGAAAATGATACTAACAGAACTGTATGCCATAAATGAAGACATATTAACAGGTATTATATATTCACTTTCTGTTAATCATCCTGCCATGTTTATATTTGTCCTCTTTCATCCTCTCCCTCTCTCTCTGTCTCTTCCCTTCACTATGCCTTTTCCTTTCTCTCTTTATTTTTGCTTCTTTCTCTCCCATTTCTCCTTTTCCCTCTCTTTCCTCCTCTCTCAAGATGAATATGGATCAACATTTCCTGATGAATTAGACATTGGGATACCCTGTACCGATATTGTCCCTGCTACCTCTCCCCCTTACTCCTCTTCTGCTTTCTCCGAGAAAGGACCCTATGCTGAGGTACTCCAGGACTTTATGATACGAAGCTACATGTCTGGCGGTCGTAGGACCAAGCCATCTGTGAACATGAGTATGTCAGACATTGTCATTGTATCATTATTTTGTCTTGTGTAACACGTGTTGTTGCTACATGTTTGGCTTATCATCATGTCCTGCGGTTAATTCTCATGAAAGCAAATCCTCCAAATGTCCATATATTAATGTACATTGGTTGTAGATGTACATATTAATGTACTGTGTTATCCTAATTCAATAACTATAGCTCATCAAATCCAATTTTAATCTGTGTAGTGTGTACCTGCCTGACCTTAGTTTCCCTGACCTCTAATGAGATTCACTACTTCACACTAGTATTCAGAATACACTTGATACCATGACACCACATGCTGGCATGTGTCATGTGTCATGTTATGACACTTGTGTGTGTTTAATTGGGTATGAAAGGAAACATGAATGTACAATTGTGCATGTATAATGCATGTATTGTGTGTGTGGGTATCTATGGACTATAGCTCCCATAGTATCTTTTGTAGTATACTCATGGTCACATGCACAATTACACATTGTTGTAGTATTAAAAATAAATTAACTTCATTTTAATTATAATCCTCTTCTTTTCTTTTAGCTGTGGATAGGAAATTGGAAGCAAGTGATAGAGTTAGTCTTCCCCTCTCTCTTTTTAAATGTTACTTTATCACTTTCTCTTCTTCATCTCACTCCATAGGCAATGGAGCTGGCATCAAAGCATGCTGATGAATTATTGAAAGATGAAGAGGAAGAAAGGATGAAAGAGGAAAAGAGAAAGCAAAAGAATAAGAAGGTAAAGTTCTAATTTTCAATTTTCACTAGGAAGCTTTCTCTCTTGTAGAAGAAAGAAGCCAAAAAGAAAAAGAAAGGACAGGTAAAGGTCATAGAGTAGCTGTGTTACAGTTTACATTGTACTTATAATTAAATTAATTGTAATTATTATTAGTTATTGTAACTAGAGCCCCGTTTACACTATGCTCTCAAAGCGGTTTGAAACCGGTTTAGAAATAAATCAGTTTATATGTGTGGACAATTTCACAAACTGACTTATCTAAACCACCTTAGGTAGGTGGTTGTTTGAGATAATCAAACCGGTTTAAGTGCTAAAGTAGCTGTATTATGTATGCAATGTAGCATGGTAAACTGATTCAACCACAGGTACTGTAGACACAATTAAGCTGGCTTCTGAACCACTTTGATCCAAACTGGTTTGTAGTGTAAACGGTACTTATGATTGTGTTTTTTTTATGAAGACAAATACTAGCAAGAAGAAGCAACCCTCCTCCTCCAGTGGTTATGTTATTGATGATGATGATGATGATGAAGATGATGTATCAGATGACATTCATTCCTTTCTTTCTGACATGGGAGAAGGGGTAAGTTGATTGATAGTTTTATACAATTACATGAAATTATGTCTTTATTATACCTCTTCCTTGATTATGTATGTGTGTGTCCATTTGCTGTTGGATTAATACCTGCATATACCCTTCCTTCTTGTACTGTCTTTTCTTTCTTTTGTCTTTTTTGATATCTTTTCTTATGTCCACCAATCATATCTTGTGTACAGTTGGACATAACTGGGTCTTTCTTTTCAAAAGTTAATGTTGCAATAAATGACCAGCCAATTGGCAGCATAGGAGCTGAGACCTTTACCAGAGGAGACTCCATGAGCAGTACAACTAGTAAGAGCTCCATCAGTAGCAAAGGAAGCACTGCTTCTTCTGTCTCTGAGAATACATGCCCAAGCCCTAAGAGATCAATAAGCAATAATTCCATTGAATACAGTAGCACTGGGAATCATGGTGCTACTACTGTTGGTAATAAGAAGGCTTCAGTAGATAGAAGAATGGTTTCAGTTGATTGTATGGGCTCTACTGAAGCTCATTTGACCAAGGTGACAGCTGCTGCTTTTAAGAAACCGTTTGATACTCCAAAGGAAACTATTGAGAAACCATTGAGAGAGATACATGTGAATGATGAATCTCTGGCTAATGGGAAGGGAAAATCTAACAATACTGGCTACCATAAAGAAAGACAAGTGGGAAAGACACAGAAAAGTACTTATTGGGGCGGAGATAAGGTCACCTTTAAACCAAACCCATCAAATTCCGGGAAATATTTCCAGCCTGATCTCCCGCCACGCCTTGCTAAACTAGCCCAGTCAAAAGGTGGAAGACAGGTTTATAATATCAACAATGATTGGAGAGCTGGAGGGACTAAGTATACCTATAACTGTGAGAGTAGTGGCTCTTATGATGGTGGTAATACTTATATTGAAACTGAGGGAAAGGGAAGAAGTGAAAGAATGACGTCATCAATGGATAGTACCTTGAATGAGACTGCTATTGTTAAGAATCCACCTGGTACTGACCGTACTAAACAATATACTCATGAAGCTATGTCAAGGGTAAGGCAATGCTTGGAATCCTGTTTGTTATTGAGTTAATTTCTGTAGAATGGAGCTGGTAATGAACTTGATGAAAGTAGAAGAATGGCTGGTAAGCAGTATAGCTAATGTACATTTGTGTATATGCCCTCCATTTCATAAATTATAAATGTATTTTATATTTATTTTTCTTTTCATGCAGTATTGGGTAATAGTGCTGCTAAAGAGGGTCAGTTTCATGATGCAGTTATGTATTTCAGCAAAGCTATACAGCACTATCCCTTCGATATGAGGTGAGCTTAATGATCTGCTGCTTAAGTTGATTGCATCTGTTCCTTCTTCTTGTTGACAGGTATTACGGGAATAGGTCTTTTTGTTATGAACACTTGAAGGACTACAAACTGTGAGTGTTTTAAAAGCAACTGGCATTATAGAATTTAATTAAATGTGATGTTCTATTTAGTGCCCTTCAAGATGCTAACGAAGCTTTGAGAATAAATGAGGATTGGCCAAAAGGACATTTTAGGAAAGGGAAAGCACTTGTTGGGCTTCAAGTACATGTTCATGCACACAAACTCTTCTGCTACATATTCTATCACTTCTCTTCTTATTGTAATACCATTTTATCTTATTTTCAGAAATATGAAGAAGCTGAGGAATGTTTTAAAATGGCTGTTAAGCATGATCCTGACTATATTGATGCAATGGAACAGTTGCAGGCAACCCAGATAAAAAGATTAATGGTAAAAGAAAATTCTTTAAAAGTTGCAAGTTACCTAACAGTTGGGCAAAAGTCCCTGTACTATAGTACAGTGTCTCAGGCCAAATTTCGCCAAAAATGACTAGGAGAGAATTCCTCATTTTTACAACATTTTCTGATACATATACATGTTCTTATGTTGTGTAGCAAGTTTGAGCTGATTACGATTAAAATTAGATTTTTTGTGAATTTTAAAAGTTACTCCAAAATCAGACCAAAGTCCCTGTACTATAGTACAGTGTCTCGGGCCAAATTTCGCCAAAAATGACTAGGAGAGAATTCCTCATTTTTACAACATTTTCTGATACATATACATGTTCTTATGTTGTGTAGCAAGTTTGAGCTGATTACGATTATAATTAGATTTTTTGTCATTTTAAAAAGTTTTTCAAAGCAATGCCTCATAAACTATTTTTGCCCACCTCATGTTGACAAAAAAGTCAAACACTACCGAACTCTCAAGTAAGATAATTTTCTTTATTTTTTAAAGGAGATGGGCTTCAGTGAAGAGCAGTCAAGGACTGCATTAAGTGAGTATGAAGATGTAGACAAAGCTGTTGAGAGCCTCATACTGAGTGATGTTGATGGATCCTCTGATCTTACTGAGAATGAGCGGCCACAGAGTAGTAGCCTTCCAGGATCCGATACAACTAGCGAATCAGAGAGCCCAAAGCAAACCAGGCCAGTTAGACAATCGTAAGCTGTAACAGAACATAAAGAGAGGTATTAGTCACATCTTTCTCTTTATTGTAGTATTGGTAATCGCCTGTGGGTTGGTAATGTCAATCCTGCCATTATTACTGAAGGAATGCTCTTCGATGCTTTTAAAAGGTTCGGATGTACATGTACATGTATTCCTATTATTATTTATATGTATTTTGATACAGGTATGTAAGTGTAGAAGGAGTCCACATAATAGGAGAGAAGTATTGTGCTTTTGTTGAGTTTAGTACTTCAGAAGATACTGCCATAGCATTGGAACAGATGCAGGTTTGCTGCTGATTTACATGTACATGTATTTTGTCTTTTTATTGCCTACATTTGTATTTATCTCTCACAGGATTATTGTCTAGAGGATTGCACTCTTTATTTAAGAGTTCCGGATAATCCTAATTATTCGCAATATCTTAAAAATCCAAAGAAGTCTGCTCCTAAATTGTAAGCTCCCTTGTTATAGCTCTTAGTAATGGGCTCAGATACATCAATCATGTTCATACCTACTATCATTAAATATTATTTACTCAAACTTATTCTACATTACAGAAAGGCATCAATAATTCAATATCTATCAATGTATTCTATTCATTCTTTTTTGTAGTACTAAAACTGCTGAAGAGTGTCGTTTCTGGAGGACTAACGGTTGTTTTTTTGGTGAAAAGTGTCGCTATATTCACATACCAAAGAACAAGGGGATTGATTTAAAATTCAAAAGGAGCATTCATCCTTCACAGACGTATTGGAGAAAATGATATAACTAGAAACTGCTGCTATTTAGCTATTATTATTATACTGTAATCATTTGAATAATAAAGATTGTTAAAATCTTAGAGCTATAAGTTGTAAATATTCACGTGTATCCTATTCTAACATTATTCATTTGTTATGGGCAGTGTCACTCCATAATGATGTTCTTGATGGAATACAAGCCTCTCTGTCTTTGCTTTCTTGCAGTGGCTCTTTGTTCTGCAAAGCTACCAATGTTCTCATGGGACACATTACCATTGTTCTTTCATTCTTCTAATGCGAGTGGTCCCTATTCTCATGAGTCTCTTAAAACTATTGCCAAGTTTCAAATGGTCACTGTTGAGAAATGGCAAGGCTATCTTGTCCCTGGAGTGGACGATGATGATGAAATGATAAATTTCATGAAAATGGTGAAGGATGTCAATCCAAATGCTGCAACTTATTTCTACATGGCCTCGTATGCTGATCTCCCTGAAATGACGAAAATGAAGCGAGAGTTTGAGCAACATCCAGACTGGTACCTGAGAGACAGCAATGGAACTAAAGTCATGAAAACTGGCAAAACCTCCTTTTATGTGTATGACGTCTCTAATCCTGCAGTGCGTCAATGGTGGATGGACTACTGCCTTGCTGCTGTGGCTGCTACTAATGGTGATGGGTGTTTCTGTGACTCCTCACAACATACAAACATGACATTTGTACCACCATTGTCACCTGAGAAGGAGAAGGCATGGGGAGATGGTCTACTTCAACTAACTAAAGAGGTGCAGGATGCTTTGGGTGATGACAAACTGCTCATTGGGAAAGTTGCAAATCAATCTTATGTCAAAGCAGTTCAAATTGAATTCTTTCGTCCAAATAATGACTCGATAGTTGAACTGATGCTTGGTGTTGAAGTTGATCAGGTTGTACAAGCTCATGCACCAATCTTTTATGATTGTCATGATGATTTAACTCACCACATAGCAGCATTTCTCACTTGGAGCTGGAGAGAACTGCTACTTTGGATGTGGCCACTGGAACACTTCAAATGATGACACCAGTGCTTTGCTATGGAAACCAGAATATGATAAGCCACTGGGAGCTCCTAATGGTCCTGCTACTTACAAGAATGGTGTCTGGAGGAGAGAATTCTCTCGTGGAACAACTGTTGAGTTTGATACAAACACTAACACTGGAACTATAAAATGGGGGGATTAATAATAGCTGGTTATCATTGTTCACTTAATTAAGTATGCTGCTGATTGTGTTGCTTATGTATTATTAATTTTATGTAAAAGACATATTCATGACTGATAAAGGTCAACTCAAGCAATGGCAATGAGTAGCTGGACACTCTTTCTCTTCTCTTTGATGGTAGTACTTTGTTCTGCAAAGCTACCAATGTTCTCATGGGATACATTACCAGTGTTCTTTCATTCTTGCAATGTCACTGGTTTATATTCTGAGGAATCAATCAAAACCATTGCCAAGTTCCAAATGGTTACTATTGAGAAAGCACAAAGCCATCTTATCCCTGGAGTGGATGATGAGGATGAAATGATGCGTGTCATGAAAATGGTGAAGGATGTCAATCCAAATGCTGCCACATACTTCTACATGAATTCATTCAAAGTTATTGGAGCAATGACAAGAATGACAAGAGAGCTTAACGAGCATCCAGACTGGTACCTGAGGGACAGTAATGGAACTAAAGTTAAACTTAGAGGGCAAGATGTGTATGCTTATGATGTATCTAATCCTGAAGTAAGGGAATGGTGGCTTAACTTTTGTCTCGGTGCTGTTAAAGCTACAAATGGTGATGGATGCTACTGCGACTCCTCTCAGCATACAAATGCTACTTTCATTCCACCATTGTCACCTGAGAAGGAGAAGGCATGGGGAGATGGTCTACTTCAACTTACAAAGGATGTTCAGAATGCTTTGGGTGATGATAATCTTTTAATTGGAAAGTATCCTGGTCAACCTTATGTAAAAGCAGTGCAAAATGAATATTTTGCTCCAAACAATGACTCTATTAATAATTTATTGCTTGGTATTATGTACAAGCAAGTTACACAAGAACATGTACTAATAACACAGGACTGTAATGGAGATTTAACTAATCATATTGCTGCTTTTCTTATTGGAGCTGGAGAATATAGCTACTTCGGATGTGGTACTTGGAGCACTTATAATGATGACACCAGTGCTTTAGTATGGAAGCCAGAATATGATAAGCCACTGGGAGCTCCTAATGGTCCTGCTTCTTACAAGAATGGTGTCTGGAGGAGAGAATTCTCTCGTGGAACAACTGTTGAGTTTGATACGAGCACTAACACTGGAACTATAAAATGGGGGACTTAGTGAACTGTAGCTACTTTTATTCATTTATTAATGAGCTGATTGTTTTGCTTATGCACTATGCGTGCACATGACATTGCTTTTGATAATCAGATTCATTAATGATAGAAGGTCAACTCAAGCAATGGCAATGAGTAGCACACTTTTTCTCTTCTCTTTGATGGTAGTAGTTTGTTCTGCAAAGCTACCAATGTTCTCATGGGATACATTACCAGTGTTCTTTCATTCTGGTAATGAGAGTGGCCTGTATTCTGAGGAATCAATCAAAACCATTGCCAAGTTTCCTATGGTTACTATTGAGAAGTTTCAAAGTGATCTTGTCTCTGGAGTGGATGATGAAGATGATATGATGCGTGTCATGAAAATGGTGAAGGATGCCAATCCAAATGTTGCCACATACTTTTACATGAACTCATACAAAGATCGTCCAGAAATGACAAGAATGGCAAGAGAGCTAGATCAGCATTCAGAC